TGAGACTGCTAATGTGCATGCTGGGGTGATAGGAAGACCTGTGGGGAAAAAAAAAAAAAAAAAAAAAAAGGAAGACCTGTGAAGTTGGGGTGTGTTCTTACCATATTTAGTAATATTTGTAGCTGAATGACAAAGAAGGAGGCCGTCAGCGGGCATCCTTGGTGTAATGACCTCGTAACTTGGAAAGACTCTGATATAAAGCCGTTTACCAGCAGTACCCTGCCGCCTGAGCCGCAGTAGAGGGAGCTGACAAACTTTCTGAACCCAGTCTTTTCTAGGACAGTCTGGACAAAATCCCAATTGACTCTGTCATAGGCTTTTTGAAAATCAATGAGAATGATCGATTTCTTTAGGTTATAGGTACCTATCCAATTTTCGAAAAGAATTCCACCGGGAGCCCGTCTAGTCCTGGGCATTTGCCCCTGGCCATGCTTTGGACTGCTGCAGTGAGTTCTGTCATTAATAGTGGTCTGTCCAGTGCTGCCGATTCTGAATCACTTAGTTAGCAACATTTTTGTAGAATTCCACAAGAACTCCTGCAGGTCCGGTGGAACCAGTGGGGCCGCCCCTTGGTCTCTCTTTGAGGTCAAGAGTGTTCTGTAAAGGAATTTGATCGGTTATTGGCCCCGCTCGTTTCGGTTGACATTGTCTCAGGATTCCCGTCCGAGCCGAAAAGTACCTTCGAAAAGCTGTGCAGAAATTTGTTCCTCGCCTACTTGGGATATTTCCATGGCTACGATCCGGACGTCCGGACCGCCATCCAGACGGTCCGGATCCAGACCGGAGTCCAGACGTCCGGTATGGGAGGTCCGGATCCTTAGAAATTTGGCCCAAAAAAAAAAATCGGGGGGTTGGCCAGGACCCTTCCTGACATTGGCGCGGACCCCCAAAAATTGTTGCTGGGGTTTTTCAGGGCCGTTTTGATTTTTTTTTTGCTTCCGGACACGAGAGAAACACTGAGTTCGATTTTTTTTTTTTTTTGGGGGGGGGTTTCGTGACTTTAGCTGTTCGGTCCAAAGAGGCCGTTGTTTTGGCAGCCTCGTTGGGGTGGGGGCGAGCGGGAGGGGTCGACTTCGTTTCGAAACTCACGCCCGACTTCCCGCCCTCGCTTCGACCCGACGGGAGCCACCCAACAGCGCCCATCGCCGTGGGGCCCTCCATCGCTCCGCGTCATCCAGCGGGCGCGCTGAAGCTCGCGACACACACACACAGCGAGAGAGAGAGAGAG